AAAACTGGCACAGTTGCCTACTGTGACCAAAACCCGTAGGTTAGGCATGAAGCTGGGTCACACTTTTGCCACTTGAACATTACTGAGTCCCATCTCCTCTTGGTGACTAAAGAACAGCGAAATTGGAACCTTGAAATTAAAGCTTCACAAGCTGAGGGGGAGTGGGGGTGGGAGTGGGGGTGGGGTTAGAGGCAGTTCAGAAGTGATGACCAGGAAAGCTATGAAGCTATCCTATTTGCTCTAATCCAACTCCTGTCTTCCAAGTCACGTTTCTACTCGGAGAGCATGGAAACGCCCCACAGACTCAAATCTAGCTCAGGACTGGGGGAGAAGGCAGGCAGGGCAAGGTACACATGGCCACTTCAAGCCTCCCAAGCCAGAAAGGAGTAGGAATTTGGCCAATGGGTTTCAGTGCTGTTTACATAATCTGAAATTCTTATTTACAATATATACACATCTATATATTTTTCCATTTTTTATTTTGGTTCTGGAAAAATGAGTGTCCTATGTCTTTTGGTGGTTAAATTGATGAGGAAATGAAATTTCTTTGTAATGCTTAGAAGTTAGAGTATAAAGTTAAAAAGAGAAAAATCAGAAGATCATCTTCGATTCAATAAGCTCTCGCCTTGAACAGTGGTTGTACGAAGTACACTGAGGCATGTTTGCCAGCTAACAGAAAAAAGCCAGAGAGAGGGGGAGAGGGGGAGGAAGGGAGGGAGGGACAGATGGATGGATGGACAGATAGATGGATGGTTAAATGACAAGGAAGGTAAAAATAGACTCCACATCCTCAGTGGACTACGTAAGATGTGAAGAGAGGGTGAGAAGACAGAATAGAACATGTCCTCCTGCCAGTGAGACAAATTTTTTTCTGGTTTGTTTCATTTGTTTTTTTGAGACAGGGTTTCACTCTGTTGCCCAGGCTGGAATGCAATGGCACCATGACAGGTCACTGCTGCCTCAACCTCCTGGGCTCAAGTGGTCCTCTTACCTCAGCCTTCTGAGTAGCTGGGACTACAGGCATGCACCACTGCACCCAGCCAAATTTTTTTTTAATTTTCTGTAAGGACAAGGTTTTGTCGTGTTTCCCAGGATGGTCTCAAACTCCTGAGCTCAAGTGACCCAGCTACCACAGCCTCCCAAAGTGCTAAGATTACAGGCATGAGCTACCATGCCAGGCCTGCAAATTCTTTTTGAGTATCAAAATTCAAGGATCCCATAAAGTCTTTCTCACACTAAATGAAATCCTACCATAACAACATTGCTAAAAAACTGAGAACTAGTTTGATTACTTTAGTATGGTTTCCTTATTCTCCTTTCACATGTTTACACTACATAACAATTTTTCCATAACCATTAGTAAAAATCAAACAGTTTATTCCTTTTGACAACAGAAGACAAAGCCTGAGGCACATGTAAGAAGTAGCAGAGAATGAGAGGGAAGAGTAACCATGGGCGATGATCAGTGGGAAAGAGAAAGAAAGTAGAAATAAACACCTCTCTCATCTGCCTAAGGATTTGAGGTCCCTAAGACACACCAAACTCCATAGGTGAGCTGATCAGGACCCAGGTCTCCTAAACCTATGCGGCATTTTGCAGTATACAGCGCTAAATTATGCTGAAGTGTGTGCAGGTGAAAAGAAAGTTTCCCTGACTGCATTCCCTACATGTTCTCTCTCCCACCGTTTCTGTACCCCTCTATCCAAATAGCACCAGTAGAATGTGGAAGCACATAGTGGAAATGAGAAAAATTACTTTAAAGACTTATCTATTAGTACTGAGCTTAAAATGTTCAAAACAGAATTGAGTGCTACCCACGTCCACCAAAGTGCTTGATAATTTCGTATGTTCTGGGTCTACTCTACAAAATGTGGTGCCCCATTAAGTCTCATATTCATAGGGGTTTCTTTTTTTTTTTTTTTTTTTTTTTGGTTTTTTGAGACGGAGTCTCGCTCTGTCGCCCAGGCTGGAGTGCAGTGGCGCGATCTCGGCTCACTGCAAGCTCCGCCTCCCGGGTTTACGCCATTCTCCTGCCTCAGCCTCCTGAGTAGCTGGGACTACAGGCGCCCGCCACCGCGCCCGGCTAATTTTTTGTATTTTTAGTAGAGACGGGGTTTCACCGTGGTCTCGATCTCCTGACCTTGTGATCCGCCTGCCTCGGCCTCCCAAAGTGCTGGGATTACAGGCGTGAGCCACCGCGCCCGGCCTCATAGGGGTTTCAAGATTGCTACTTGTAATGTCTGTTTTAGAGTATCTGAATAAATCATTTCTTCTCCATTTCTCATGCTTAGCAAGTTGAACATCTTACTACTAAATAAGAGAATCAGCTCAGTGACTATACTTTACCAGCAGAACCCAGACTTATTTTTAGTAGGGAAGCCTGAGTTTGCCTTACAAGAGTGCTGCCTAGTGTCTATATGGGGAACTGCACACAATTTTTTGTTAACGAGTTAAGAATGTGTGTGATTGTGTGGCACGGAGGAGCCTTCCTTTATGAAATGCTAAAGTACATATGTAGACATCTTTGCAAATCCAGTTACAGTTCCATTGATTTATGTTAGTATTTTAAATATGCATTCACATTGAAATCAGACATTATAAAGTTGGCACTTCAAAATTCAGACATTATAAAGTTGGCACTTCAAAATTTAAATTCAAAATTTAAAACTTTTTAAATTACACATTTAATAGAAAAACTATTTCTAGAAAAATACTGACAATTATCCATTGTTAACATACTGTGCTTTAACTATTAGAGACCGTGGTAGTTGCTAAACAACAGTCTTAATTTTCTAGAGAAATATTTGTGAATTTTTTCCGAAAGTATTTCATATAGAGCTCATATGAATGACAGATGCTTGTTGTACAGTTACTATGTTCTAGACACCGTGCTATACACATTACATAATTCCTGTTTAATCCTCAATATTTATAAAATGCTTAGAGCAGAGTATGGCATATAGTAAACGGTGTTAAATAAAAAAATAGCCTAGATTATCCTGAGATGTTATTATCCTCATTTTACATACAATAAACCTGAGTTTAGAGAATTTAAGTAAGCTTACCAGGGTTATACACTTGCAAGTGGCATATCTAGGGTTTGGCCAAGGTTTACCAGACTCCACGGGCTGCACACCATGCCCTATTGCCACTCTCATAAACCTCTTCTCTATATATGGTTTCTGTATTCATTTCCTAGGGCTGCCATCACGAAGGACCAGAGACTGGGTAGCTTAACCAACAGTTTTTGGGGTTTTGTTTTGAGACGGAGTTTCGCTCTGTCGCCCAGGCTGGAGTGCAGTGGTGCAGTCTTGGCTCACTGCAACCTCTGCCTCCCAGGCTCAAGCAATTTTCCTGCCTCAGTCTCCTGAATAGCTGGGATTACAGGTACTCACCACCACTCCTGGTAAATTTTGTATTTTGTATTTTTGCTTTTTTTTTTTTTTTTTTTTTTTAAAGTAGAGACAGGGTTTCACCACATTGGCCAGGCTGGTCTCAAACTTCTGACCTCAGGTGATCCTAGCACCTTGGGAGGCCAAGGTGGGTGGATTACAGGCATGAGCCACCACTCCCAGCCTAAACCAACAGAAATTTATTTTCCCATGATTTTGGAGGCTAGCAGTCTTAGATCAAGATGTCTGCAGGATTGACTTCTTCTGAAGCCTCATATGCCTTGGCTTGTAGCTGGCCATCTTCTTGTCTTCACAGTCTTCCCATTGTATGTGTCTGTGTCCCAATCTCTTCTTATAAGGATACCAGTTCTATTGGATTAGGGCCCATGCATATGACCTCATGTTATCTTAACTACTGCTTTAAATGCCCTCTCTCCAAATACAGTCACATTCTAAGGTACTGAGGGTTAGGACTTCAACATGTGAATTTGAGGGGAGCACAGTTCAGCCCATAACAGTCCCTATCTTAGCTTATTTACTTGTTAGACTCTCTCCAGACATCTCTAAGAAGGTATGCCTGCTGTATACGCCAGGCATTGATTCAGACACTGAGAATACATAGATGCATCTTCACAGACAACAACCATATGTAGCAGGAAAAAGTTTGCAAACAATTATCACAGCTCAATGTGGGGAAAGTACAATAATAAAGTAAGTACACGGCCAGGCGTGGTGGCTCACACCTGTAATCCCACCACTTTGGGAGGCCGAGGCAGGCAGATCCCCTGAGGGTGGGAGTTTGAGACCAGCCTGACCAACAAGGAGAAACCCCATCTCTACTAAAAATACGAAATTAGCCGGGTGTGGTAGCACAAGCCTATAATCCCAGCTACTCCAGAGGCTGAGGCAGGAGAATTGCTTGAACCCAGGAGGCGGAGGTTGCAGTGCTCCGAGATTGCGCCATTGCACTTCAGCCTGGGCAACAAGAACGAAACTCCGACTCAAAAAAAATAAATAAAAGGTAACTACACACAATTCAGAGCTGGTTGAGAAGAGAAAAAGGCTAATTCTGGAAAGAGGAGGCAAGACTTCAGCAGAGATGGCCTCTAAGGTAGATTTTGAAAACAAATCACGTAAGTAGACAAGGAAAAGAAGGACCTTTGAAATGAAGACATGGGGCATGAAACAACATCCACACCAAGGATATGCCAAGTCATTCATCCAGTCCACAGGAATATACATTTCAATGCAGAAGGGACTAGAAGGAAATGACACTGGAGAGATAGCGAGGACCCTATTGCGAGGAGGAACTATTGAAGAATAGTAAGTGTGTCTGGCTCAGTGAGTGAGGTGTTGAGGGAGAAGGCCTGATGTGTAACATTTGCTGATTTTTTGTAATATAAGCCCTCCTACCATGGCTGATTTTAAGCTGTCAATGTGAAGTCACTGACCTCTGGAGCTGAGAAGAGATGTACAGGAGCACACCATTATATAGTAATTCCACCAGACAGAGTCGACAATACAGTAAATAATCTTGGGCAGTTCAGGCTGCTACAACAAAGCATCATAGACAGGGAGGATTATAAACAGCAGAAATTTATTTCTCACAGTTCCAGAGGCTGGAAATCCGAGATCAGGGTGACAGCAGGCTCAGGTTCTGGTGAGGGCCTCTTCCAGGTTGCAGACTGCCAAATTCTCCTTGCATCCTTACGTGCTGGAAAGAGAGCTAGCTAGCACTCTAGCTTCTTTTCATAAAGGCACTAATGTCATTCATAAGGTCTCCATCCTCATGACCTAATTAGCTCTCGAAGGCCCATTAAACATGGAGGATTCAATTTCAACATGAATTTCAGTGGGCACACAAATAATAAGTTTCATATAAACCTTGTGAATATGGATAACAGAAAAATGTAGTAGAATAATTAGAAAGTGATGAGTTTTAAGTATCACCTTTTGTTCTCAATATAATTTATTTGACTAGAAGCTTCTATAATTTACTTTTTAAATGAAGGCTGTGTTTAACAATTGGCTCACGATTCCAGCAATCATCATGGCAGATGGAAGGCAGGACTAGATTGCAGCTCTAACTCAAACGGACAGAGCAGCATGCAGAGGCTTGCATTGTGAATTTTAGCTCCAGAGCAACTGCAAGAACAAACCAGGAATCCCAAGAGGACCCACAGACCCTCTGAAGGAAGCGGACTGCTCCTGCAGGACCCGGGAGACACCCCAAATACTGAGTGCCCCAACTGTGGAAGTGGGAAAGGGAACCCTCCATTCCCGAACACACACCTCCACTGGGGAAAAGGAAGGTCTAGTTTGCGAGAGAAGTTTCCGACCTTACCTGGGGCTGAGTCCGTTTAGAGAGTCGAGAGAAATACAGGAGTAGAGGAAGTAGTGGGAAAGGCCCTGGGAGCTCACTGGGCCCCCAAGCAGGACATTCCTGCCTGGCGCCACGGGGATCCTTCGGGAGGGCGGCCAGAGGAGTACCGGGAGAACGCCTCAGGTAGAAGGAAGTCTCCGGCTGAACTTTTTAACAATTGGAACCAGGTATCTGCAACCACCTGCAAACAGCACGCAGTTTCTATAACATTTTTCACTTAACACCCTTCCCCTAACAACCTCCACCTGGCAACCTTCATTTAACCCAAACCTCAGGGCCTCAATCCTCTGTTTGGCCTGTGTTCCATGGGACAGGACAGAGGTGAGGGTCGGGGGTACTCAGATGTTAATCGTAGAAAAGGAAGGAATCTCCAATTTGGCCGCTCCCAGATTCCCGAGCGCAGCAGCACACATTCAGGTGCATCTGCCATACAGGGTTAGTCTAAGGGTATGATTAAATTATCGCTATCAGGTGCGTTTACCCTACACCCTTTCATACAGACTAGAAGGGGGATTTGCAGCCTCCGTGGTACTTACCAGGAGACAGAAAACAATGAAAGCAAAGACATCTGAATAACTAGACCCCATGAAAAGCAAATGCTTCAGTTAAAATGCCCTCCCCAGACCCAGTGCTTAGAGTTCTCATATAGGTATGTGGCTAAGAATCACAAAGCCAGAGCTTACATGATTTTTCCTGATAGAGTAGTCATTCAGATTTCACGTGCTAAGAATTAAAAAACAACAACAAAAATGCTGTAATGATCAACAGTGTTTTCAATCTACATTTCATGCCTGAGATTCATTTATTTTAGAGATCAAGAAATAAAAATAACTGGGCATAGTGGCTCACGCCTGTAATCCCAGCACTTTGGGAGGCCAAGGCAGGCAGATTACCTGAGGTCAGGAGTTCGACACCAGCCTGGTCAACATGGGGAAACCCATCTCTACTAAAAAATAGAAAAAATTAGTCACGTGTGGTAGCACACACCTGCAGTCCCAGCTACTCGAGAGGCTGAGGCAGGAGAATCACTTGAACCTGGGAGGCGAAGGGTGCAGTGAGCCAAGATCACGCTACTGCACTGCACTCCAGCCTGGGTGACAGAGCAAAACTCTGTCTCAAAAAAATTAAAAAAAAAAAAAAAACTAAAAAGAAATAAAAACAAATAGCATTTATAAAAGTAGTTCTTTAAATCAGTTTGCTATGGGGCAAAATAGCTCCTCTCATTCAAGTTCTTCAATTTTACTAAATTCAAATAGAAACACTGTGAAGGGTGTGGTAGCTCACACCTGTAATCCCAGCACTCTGAGCAGCTGAGATGGGCAGATCGCTTTAGGACAGGAGTTCAATACCAGCCTGGGCAACATGGCCAAACACCATTTCTACTAAAAATACAAAAATTAGCCAGGTGTGGTGGCATGTGCCTGTATTCCCAGATACTCAAGAAGCTGAGGCAGGATAATCGCTTGAACCCAGAAGGTGGAGGCTGCAGTGAGGCAAGATCACGCCACTGAACTGCACTCCAGCCTGGGCGACGAAGTGACTCTGTCTCAAAACAAAAAAAAACAAAAAAAAAAAAACAAAAAAAAACACCACAAATATGAACACAGCTCGCATGTGCAAATTTGCAGATATGGTGGTGAACCATCATAGCTATACCTGGATAGTCTTAATCCTAAGAGATAATTGTTTCTTCTCTGCTCCATCTTCTACCTCCTTGTCTCCCTCTCCCAAAGCCAGAGTTTACTAAAACCAAAGACAGTAATTCCACCCATCATACTTGCTTCCTGGCCTTGACATTGCGCTGTGACACAACACCTCTGATTTATGTTATGCACACATGCCTTCTCATTCACAGCAGAGTGGTTTTTCACAAACCCATGATCTTCAAAGTAGCCCCTTTAGGTGCTTATATTCTTATTCCAACAATCGTACCTGCCGAGGCAGAAAACACTGTGGACATTCCTTCTTATATCCTTTTGTCTATCCTAAGTAATGGGAATTTTTTTCCTTTAAAGAAAGAAGTTGATGATTGAGAACAGCTAAATTCACAGTTAAAGCCAATAAATAATGTGGACAACAAAGCTTGTTAAAACCACTTGTCTTTTTCATCCAAAATGACCATAAAGCAATGAGACTAAATTTTTTAATGTTTACGGTTCATCATACTAGTTCTGGAGGCAGACTAAGAAGAATTTTTTCTATGTTTTAGACAATGACAACAGAAGAATAAATGTGTGTCATCGATCTTATGATCTCTTCAGAAGACAACAATTGCTTGGACAGAGAATCTCTAGTAAATGCATATCATCAGGGATACAGGTTATATAAAGAGGGAACCAGGGCCCCCAACTTCCACTGCCAGCCCACTGACAAAGTAATATCCAGCCAAGCCCAGAAGGGGCATAACTCTTGGAACTGAAAGACATGCAATAGGATTGTCAAAACTACATGAAAATAAGTCCATAAATTGTGAAATAACTTATAGAGTACTATAAATTTTATCCAACACAGCATTGAAACTGGGCCATGAGCAACATGAGTGCCATCTGGAGGTAAAAATGACCATTCACAATCACTCCAAAATCATTTGTTCCATTTACACCTGAGTAGAATATATATTCAAAAATTTAAACCTCAGACTTTTTACTTTGTAGATACACCATCTTTTTTGTTTGTTTTAAGATAGGGTCTCGCTTTCTCACCCAGGCTGGAGTGCAGTGGCAGAAACATGACTCACTGCAGCCTCAACCTCCCAGGCTTAAGTGACCCTCCCACCTCAGCCCCCCAAGTAGCTGGGACTACAGGCATGTGCCACCACACCTGGCTAATTTTTGTGTTTTTTTGTAGAGACAGGGTTTTGCCATGTTGTCCACACTGGTCTTGAACTCCTGAGCTCAAGTAATCCACCTCGGCCTCCCAAAGTGCTGGGATTACAGACATGACCCAGGATGCCCAGCCTAAGCCATCTTTAAGATATATGTAAAGTGCCTGGCACAAAGAAGGTTTTCAATAAATGTTACTGAACACCTTCAGCTGCATTAGGCTGGGCTGACTTACTATCTCTGTTCTTAAGTAAAGAGAGACTGGGTATGTCTAAAATTACCAAATTCTTCAATCTCAACAGTTGAGTTTAGCAAATTTATTTATAGCTTTCAACACATGGAATTCACTTGAGGTTAATCATGTGTCCTTGCAGTTCTCAAAAAATGCTAAAGTGGGAAAGGACTGGAAGCATTAGTGCCCTTTGCAGAATATGCCCTTTACTCTGTTGTCAACAGAGTAAATCATCCCAGTCTCTGCCTTGTTGGTTTTTTCCTACCTCTCCCACTCCTACGTACTTCAACTAGCCACAAGACTCACCAAAAAAAAGACCTCGGAAATATTGTTGCAATGGCTATGCCTCCAAGCAAGGAACGTGAAAGCAAGAACAGTCCTAAACTGCAAGTTTCTGTTAAAACGACTGCCTGTTAAAACCACAAGTTCCCATTCCAACAGGTGTAGCTTAAAAAAAACAAATAGGCCGGGCGCGGTGGCTCAAGCCTGTAATCCCAGCACTTTGGGAGGCCGAGGCGGGCGGATCACAAGGTCAGGAGATCGAGACCACAGTGAAACCCCGTCTCTACTAAAAATACAAAAAATTAGCCGGGCGCGGTGGCGGGCGCCTGTAGTCCCAGCTACTCAGGAGGCTGAGGCAGGAGAATGGCGGGAACCTGGGAGGCGGAGCTTGCAGTGAGCCGAGATCGCGCCACTGCACTCCAGCCTGGGCAACAGCGTGAGACTCCGTCTCAACAACAAAAAAAAAAAAACAAATAAATGATAAAAACTTTTAAAACAGTAAGTTGTTTTAATGACTGAACTTTCAACCTTTCCCTACCCAATCAAAACCCTGACTCTGCTTCAGTTGGGCAGTGATCTGGTCTTCAGTCTTCAGGTGCCCCTTGACACACCACCTCTAGTTCAGTCACTTAGATTCTTTTCTTTTGACATCATTGTATGGCAGATCCACCTGATAGCAATAAGGTACGCATACCCTGAGAATGACGCTATGGTCTAAGAAGAATGTGTGTTTGGAATTCCAACCTAAGGAATTTAGGAGTGGCCAACCCTGAGTTTCATTCCTTATCTATGAGGAACATCTGAACCCCAGCCCATCCCATGGAACACAGGCCATACAGGGGATCAAGGCCCTTTGTTTTGGATTAAATGAAGATTGCCAGTGGAGGCTGCTCAGGGGAGGGTGCTAAGTGAAAATGCTATATAAACTGCATGCTTTTTACAAACAGTAGCAGTTCTCCTGTCCAGCCTGCTGCCACTGGATAGGAGAACCACTACTGTTTGTAAAAAAGTAATGTGGGCAGGGCACGGTGGCTCAAACCTGTAATCCCAGCACTTTGGGAGGCCGAGGTGGGTGGATCACAAAGTCAGGAGTTTGAGACCAGCCTGGCCAACATGGTGAATCCCCGTCTCTACTAAAAATACAGAAATTTAATACAAAAACTAGCCAGGAGTAGTGGTGTGCACCTGTAATCCCAGCTACTCAGGAGGCTGAGGCAGGAGAATTGCTTGAACCCGAGAGGCAGAGGTTGCAGTGAACCAAGATCACTCCACAGCACTCCAGCCTGGTGGCAGAGTGAGACTCCATCTTAGGAGAGAAAAAAAAAAGAAGTAATGTGTAAGTCCCCTCGATAAACTCTGTGTCTCATTCACTGGCTCTGGGTCTCCTCTTTGGCCTCCCAAACATGGTACCATCCCTATAGAAGTCAATAGGGGTCTGGCATGGCAAACATGAAACGTATTTATTCCATCACAAAAACTTAGGAACAATTTTATCAACAATGACAAAAAAAAGGTTATGTTATATATAGCAAGTGCTTGTGATTCTTCAGCAGCATTACAACTATGAGTACCTGGGTCCACAGAAAAACCATCTCTCAACTTAGAGCCAGATCAACAGTTTCAGAGTCTCCTATTAACATTCACCTGCACTTTGGCCAGTGATTTTCTGGGTGCTTGAGTTTGCTTGCAATAGTAGATGCCAATGATTTTAAAACTATTAGGAAGAGAGCTTAAAACAGAGATAATTCCATCTGTTCACTTATTTATTGTGGTCACTGCCTTTTGTCAGAGGTAAAGCACCAGTGTCACAGGATCATAGCCTGATCGCAGCTGATGTTCATATACCATTCTCAATGTCTTCACTGGTTACATTTCCCAAATGGAAATCAGTGTTAAGAATGCAGTAAGGCAACAACCAAGCACAATGAACTCAAAAAGGATACACCTGGGGAGATGTAGCCAACCTCCGAAGACAATACATCTGCCCTCAACCTAATGAATCAAGGGGTATTAACTACAAAGTAAACATAGCCCAGGGCAAGGGATTAAGTGACTTTCCTGGGACTGAGGAGAGATGGAGAATAAAGACAGGTTCAGAATAATGTATACAGGGACTAAGAACTATTAATAAAGCAAGACAAGAAGTAAAATGTGTTTTACTATTAACTACATTTTTGTTAATATATTGATAACTCTTTGTGCCACTGTAGTTCCTGTTTGGAAAAGGTAAATGAAGGTAAAATTCTTCATACTAAGAGCCACGTTGACTAATTCAAATTTAAATGCTAATTGGGTACAGAAAAGTTACCTCCTAGATCCTTAGTGACTCAAAGTTTGGATCTAACTACAGCTCTAACCCTTGTTCTGAATGTC